AATCTTTTGAATTTTAAGTGCTCTTCATATATTCTGGATACCAGATGCTTATCAGTTGTGTGATTTGCAAATATTTTCTATTCTGTGGGTTCTTACCACTTCTATGGAAATGTCCTTTCATCCATAAAAGTTTATAATTTAGATGAAGTTCAACTTATCTCTCTTTTCTTTTGTTGTTTGTGCTTTCTACATCGTATCTGTGAATCCATTACCAAATCCAAGTCATAAAGTTGTGCCCCTGTTTTCTTGTAAAAATTTTATATGCACCCCTATGTTCATTGCAGAGTTCTTTACACTAGCCAAGGTTTGGAAGCAGCTCAAGTGCCCATCTATACTAAGAAAAGGGTAATATGCTAATTAGACTGAGGGACCTTCCAGACAGATGTCCTTCCAGACAAAGTCATGGTGGCAGGGCCCAGGCAGAGGCGGTTAGGGGCGATCAGGCCAGGAGGGGAGGGCAGATGGGGGTGATCAGGCTATCAAGGGGGACAGGTGGGGGCAAGAAGGTTGGTGGGAGGTAGTTGGGGGTGAGCAGGCAAGCAGGCAGAGTGGTTAGGGGCAATCAGGCAGGCAGGCAGGTGAGCAGTTAGGAGCCAGCAGTTCTAGATTGTGAGAGGGATGTCTAACTGCTGATTTAGGCCTGATCCCACAAGGTCCCAGATTGGACAGGGTACAGGCCAGACTGAGGGACACCCCCCTCCGGGCACGAATTTCATGAACCAGGCCACTAGTCAGTAGATAAGTGGATAAAAAAAAAACCTGTGGTACATTTACACAATGGCCATAAAAAAGAAGGAAATCTCACTTTTTGTGACAGCATGGATGGGCCCAGAGATTAGCATGCTAAGTGAAATAAGGCAGTCAGAGAAAGAAAAACACCATATGCTCTCACTTATATGTGGAATCTAATGAACAAAGTAAATAGACCAACAAAATAGAAACAGAGGCATGAATACATGGAACAGTCTGACAGCTGTCAGAGGATGTGAGTTGGGGGAACTGAATGAAAGAAGGTGAAGGGATTAGCCAAAGAACATAAATGCATAACCCATAGACTCAGACAAGAATGTGCTAATGGCCAGAGGGAAGGGGGGCAGGGGGGCTGGATGGAGGTGGGCAAGGGGGGGAGATGGGGACATCTGTAATAATATCAATAATAAAAATAAAATTTAAAAAAAATATGGTAAATCCATAAACTGGGATTTTGTAAAGCCTTTAAAAAGACATTTAAAAATGAGAATAAAGAATGTGTTATCTGGAAAACTTGCCAAGCTGTATGGTTAAGTTCAAAACAAAAGAAAACAAAAAGCTAAGTATAAAAACTGGATATTTTATAGAGTTCTTAAAAATTTCTAGTTAAATAATACATTAAAACCTAAAATAAAACCAAAACATCATATGTGTATTGTGAAAGAAAAGAGCCACATGCTAACCTGACAAGCTCAGGGAAGGCCTGCATGGCAGTCCTGCAAATCCAGAGACCTAAGATAACCACAAAAGATGGTTTGAAAATTAAATATCTAACAGGTTATAGTAGGTAGTCATGTCCCAGGTATTTCACCTGGGACAACTTTGATCTACTTTTACTGAGTCCATCTGCCTTCTTGCATCTAAGATAACAAACATATCTGTGAGATGTCTGGGTAACTTGTAGCTTCCTTTATACCCCAGACCCCTCAGGGCACAACAAATCGCCTGGAGACATTCCCTCATTGTTATTGTTATCAAGTTAATTGTCAACTGTTAATTACGTTAGAGTATCCTGTATCCATCTCTGTGAAAGAAGCTCATGTCCATCATTTAACCTTTTACCCTATCCCAGAGGTTTCCCCGCTTCGCTTTGTCCCACCTCCCTAATCTATAACCAACGAATTTCATGTAACTAACCTATGTCCCTTTCCTTTGATTGCAATGTATAAATATAGGAAAGTAACCCGCCATTCTCCGGAGCATTATCTCAATCCGTTGAGGTTCTGCTTCCCGGCATATGTCGACAGTTTGGCTCAAATAAAATCACAAAAAATTCTTTACAGGTTTCAATGTTTTTTGTTTGTTTGTTTGTTTGTTTTTTCGTTAACAGTATTCTCCCTCCAAGTGATTCTCATTTTTCATTTTATGAGAATGTTGCAGGAACTCCAAGACTCTTGTGTCCTTAGATATGTCCTTAGGCCAAGGAAGGGAGAGGAGGAATATCCCTGCAAAAATGTCAACATTAAAAAAAGTTTTCTAAACCTTTATTGTTAAGAGTATTACAATGTCCCCCCATTGCCCTCCTCCAACAGGTTCCTGCTTTGTCCCAGGCCTTCACCACCCTATTGTCTGTGTCCATAGGTAATGCATATATGCATATAAATTCTTTGGTTAATCTCTTCCTGGCCCACCTCCCCTCTTCCCTTTGAGATTCAATTGACAGAGAAGTCCTTTATATTTCCACATTGAAGAGAAAAAATCTTGACCTTGAGATGAAAGCTCATTTCCTAAAGAAATCACAATGAATTAACCAACTTCTCAATTTAAAAAAATATATGAAAACAGATTAACGTCACCCAGAGGTGAGCTCAGCTTTGTTCTTTGTACTCTCTTTGGGCACTTGAAATTATGAAAGAAATTCAGATCTACAGACCCTTTTAAATCTGGTTCTTCAATTTAACAGTGCCCCCTTCTGGTTCCATGATTCACATTCTGCTAATTTGTCACTGTTGGGAGGTGGGGGCGAGCTGGGGGGGAAGCTTAACATGGAAAACATGATGGGGAGAATTATTTTGAAACCTCAAAGTACAAGGCTTTCGTTTTCCATCTTGCTGTGACAAAATAAATGAGCAAAAATCCTAATGGCAGTTGGGAAATGCTAAGGAGAGGGGGAAAATGAAAAGCTATGTTTAATGTGTGTGAAAAGTTTCTGGAGGTTGTTTGTACAACATTGGGAATATACTTACCACTGCTAATCTGTATACTTAAGGAGGTGTGTTTTGTTATATGTATTTTACCACAACTAAAAATAAACTCCCTTGAAACAGAAAGAGTGCAGGTTGATGGCAGCCTCTCTAAATTGAGATTGTTGTCACCTCAAATCAAATGTTTATAATAAATCAAAGCCAGCTGGATTTGATATAATTGTAAATTCCCGTAATTTCACTAAAATGGGCACATATTGCTCTTAATTTACTAAAACTATAGCTATAAAACAACTGCATTTCAACTTTTACTCTTAAAGTCTCTAGTCTCGAGGATTTGGAGACCCATGTAAAAAGATTGTAAAACTGTCACTTCACTTACTTTGGGAAATAATAAAATATTCTTTCATATAAAAAAAATAAAGACTCAAAGTTTGACTTCTATTGGGTCAAAGGCATGACATTTCCTGAGATTAAAAAAAAAAATGCCCTGACCGGTTTGGTTCAGTGGATAGAGCATTGGCCTGAGGACTCAAGGGTCCCAAATTCAATTCCGGTCAAGGGCATTTACCTTGGTTGCTGGCACATACCCAGTGGCAGGAGGCAGCTGATCAATATTTCTCTCATCGATGTTTCCAACTCTCTATCCATCTCCCTTTCTCTCTGTAAAAAATTAATAAAATGTATATTTAAAAAACACTAGGAAAGGGACAAGTGGGTGCTAGTGGGCTGGGTTATGACACTGTTAAACATCCTACAATGCACAGGACAGCCTCTCCCCACCTCCCCAAGAACCATCTGTCCTCAAATATCAATAGTGTCTAGTGTGAGAAACCCTGGGTTACAGTTCTTCCCTCTGACTTTGGCCATTTTTCTTAGCCTTTGTGGCAGGCTTCTCTTCTGTCTCTAATGACTCACTTATTCTGCCTTTAGCCCACTTCTCTATATTTTCTCTTGGAGATAGCTTCCCTTCTCACGATGTCAATTACCACATCCATGTTACTGATCCCCACATCTATCCCTGTCGTCCTAACTCCTCCTCTAGCTCTAAAACTTTTTTCTCTTGATTCCCCTTCACATATTTCTCTTAACCTATTCATAGAAAACTACAGGGTCATTTATATTCCCAACATTTTCTGAGCATCTAATTTACATTAAAGGCTGCCCTGGTACTTGGAGGAAGGCAGAGATGGTGGAGATGCAATCATGGTTAATAAGCGCTTTAATTGCATTATATCTGATTATGGCATTAGTTCTGCAAGGGGAGGGGGAAAGCATTATCTCCTGGAAAGTAATGTCCCAAGTGTTTAATCAACTACTTAAATATCGCAAAGTTTGCTTTTAGCAGAATGTTCAAAGTGCTGTTATATTTTGATATTAAGGATTGAACTATCCTCTCTTCCTTTTTTTAAATTTTTTTTTTATGAGAACAGTGCTGGAAATGTGAGGTCCAGTTCCTCAGTAGCCAAAGGGGGATGGGTGTGAATGTTGAAGTAAGTTCTAGTAGCCTCTTCTAAGCCAATTTGCACCCCCGCTTCTGGTTGCTACCGTATATCATAGAATATAAAACTTGTGATAGCAAGATGAATCATTATTTTCCACAATTCTCGGGGGAAAAATAAACATTGCCAATTAAAGTGTGACATGCCATCAGTTGTCCAAGATGTCCCAAATGCTGACACATTTTTTAAAAGGTAAGCCTTCAGAGGTATCTAATTTGCTAAAATATGAACAAAAAAGTAATGTTAGATTCTATGACATACGGTGAATTTATTTTCCACGTCCATTTCCAAGGTCAGTTCCAGTGTCCTATTTTGCACTTTCGTAAACTATCACGGGTGTATATTGTTTTTGAAAGAATCGTCTGCGACTCGAACCTAAAGCCCTTAGCTCTTCAATAATTTCTTTGTTCGCCCAACCCGCCCCTCCCACTTCGTGCCGGTCAATAATCGATGTAGAGTTTATGATTTAGGAGTAAACCTCAATTTCTTCTAATCATAACATTGCATAGATTGTATACGACTGTCCATCGCATTCGCTGCATTAAGGGGAAGCGATGATGGAAAACATTGTTACATAAACGCATCTTTCGTAAAGACCCATCCTTGTAGAAATGTTAAAATGGGGTAGGGTAGGGAGCCCGGCAGAGGCGGAGAGGGGATATACGTCTCGGGATACAGGAAATACGGTAGGAGAGAAACCCGGAGGAAGCTCTGGGTCTGGAGGGGAGGGGACCCGCCGCCATCTCAGGTCTCTGCCTGGCTGGGGCCCACCCGAGAGAGCTGACGCCCAGGTCCTAGAATCCTTATGGGGGACCAACCTTGTCCCTCCGGGCGATCCACGCTCCCGTCTGCCAACACGCGAGAAAGCAAGCCTCCAAGAAAGCGCTGCCTCTTAGCTCCAAGGTGGGATTATCCAGAAGGGACCCCAAACGGAGGTACCGCTCTTCCCTCAGCACCTCCTCCGGCATCTCCCGGCCTGAAGTCGCACCCTCTTCCTCCGGAGAAGTCATAGAATACACTTCTCCCACCCTAAACCAGGTCAGATTCTTTCTCATCTGGGACATTCTGGCTTTCAGAAACTTAATTATGTGTTTCCTAGCTCGCCTTCCCGTTCTCTACCCGCCCCCCCTCACCGTTCTCTCCACGATTTAAAAATTGAAGAAAGCATATGCAGACATTAAATAGCTCTTTCATAAAATATGCTTGGATGAAATGTTGGCTATTTAATGACATTAAGTAATTATTTTAAATATACAGGGTCTCCCTACGCCCTCAAAAATGTATACACACTTCAACAGCTGATATCAACATCTCAATTTTGAAAAGGAAATGCATTTTAATAAACACTGCCTTTGTAATTATTCAAAGTGTGTGTATACATTTTGGAGGAAAATGTATAGCAGTTGTGATCATTGTGGGTTATGTTTTTTTAAGAAACAGACTTGAATGTTTTTGTATACGCAAAAGTAATTTCGTGGGGTCCAGTTGGGGGGTACGAACTAAATGCTCATCAGTTGATCATTGTTAAAGCTAGACGATGTATTATGGTGACTCATTACAATGTTCTCACTACTCTTGTGTACACTTGAAACTTTTCCATTGAAAAATGCTTAGCTCCAGATGAATAACAACAGTGTATGCAAGGCCTAATTGCTATGCCTAGCACTATGCTCATAGAAGGACTTATAAGGTGAGCTACGTAAGTGTGTGTTTCTCTGTGTATGGTAGAATTTAATAAGCAAAAGCAGTGACAATATGATAAGTCAAACCAGGTGCCATAATGTTTGCTTGTTCCCTGCATTCAGGAAGCATCCTAGAATGGACCAACTCGTTCTGCCTGATACCCGTGTTTCCCCGAAAATAAGACCTAGCGCGTGGAAAGATAAGATATCCTCTGAAAATAAGACCTAGCGCAACTTTGGGAGAAAAAAATTAATATAAGACACTGTCTTATTTTCGGGGAAACAGGGTAGTAATAATGACCTTTCAGGGAGGGAAAGGGAAATGTGGGTGAGCCTTACTCTTGTTAGTGACATCTGCCCTGCGGAAGTGGAGAGAGTGTTTTTCAGGACTTTTGTTTCTAGAACAAAAGCCCCAGGACAGGTTTGTTCTAGGGAAAGCGTGGCTCTAATTCTGAAATCTGTTAGATCTTAGGAGGTGAGATAGAATGTTGTAGGGCCTTGAATGTTATGCTGAAGGAATATGCAGCTTAATCCATGAGCATCAGCAACCATGGAAGATTTTCAAGCAAGAGGATGGATTTTAGGAGGCCAGTTTTTAACATCAGAGAAACAATCTTCTATTTGCATCAGCTTATAGAATGCAAAAACTAAAATCAAATCTGATCTAAGCCTCACAGATTTTTATAATCTAAAGGAGACAGGCCATTCTTTCTTCACTTCTGCAGTAAACCTCTCTATGAAGCCCTTACAATGGACTAGGCATTGTGCTGGCAGCTGGAAGGGATGTGTGACCAAGGAATAGTGCCTGGTACATAGTAGGAGGGAAACAGATATTTGAATGAGTGAGTCAATGAATGATAAGAAAACAGTAGCAACTAAGAGGGTTCTGGATTTAGGGGTTGATGGCAGTGCATAGAAAATGAATGAGCTCTATTTTACCTGAAAGCATTTCCTGGCCATTCCTTACAGCCTCGCTTCCCTCAACTTTAGCTCTGTGTCCAAACCAGTAGTGGCAGAGGGTGAGAGAGCAGAGGGATAGCAGTATTTAGATATGGCAAGAAGTGCAAGAGCTACTTAATTCCTTCCAGTGATTCAAATCATTGAAGATTATCATAAGAGTAAATATTTACTGAATATCTTTATGTGCCAAATACTGTTCTAAAGGGCTTCCATAGTCTATGCTTATTATTATGCTTACTAGAGAACTGGTGCATGGAATTCATGCATGGGGGGTGTCCCTCAGCACAACCTGCACCCTCTCCAATCGGGGACCCCTTGAGGGATGTCCAACTGCCTGTTTAGGCCCGATTCAACTGGAAATCCCTCTCACAGTACAGGACTGCTGGCTCTCAAGTGCTCGCCTGCCTGCCATCCTGATCACCCCCTCCCTAGTCACTCCCCTTCCACCTGATCGACGCCCAACTGCTCCCGTGCTGGCCTGGTCACCCCCTAAACTTCCCTCCCCTGCCTTCCTGCCTGATCACCCCCTAACCATTTCTGCCTGCTAGCCTGATCGACACCTAACTGCTCCTCTGTCAACCTGATCAGCCCTAACTGCTCTCCTTTTCCAGCCAGGTCACCCCTAACTGCCCTCACCTGCAGGCCTGGTGGCCCCCAACTGCCCTCCCCTGTCAGCCTGGTCACCCCTTACTGCTCTCCCATGCTGCTCTCCCTTGCCAGCCTGGTCACCCCCAATTGCCCTCCCCTGCCTGCCCTGTTGCCCCCAACTGCCTTACCCTGCAAGCCTGGTTGCCCCCAACTGCCCTCCCCTGTCAGCCTGGTCCCCCCCCAACTGCCCTCCTATGCAGGCCTGGGTCCCCCCCCCCAATGTCCTTCCATGCAGGCCATCTTGTGGTGGCCATTTTGTGTCCACATGGGGGAGCCATCTTTGCCCACATGGGGGTGGCCATCTTATATGTTGGATTGACAATTTGCATATTACATTTTTATTAGATACTATTATTAATATTGTTAATTATTACTATTGCTATGCAATAAACCTTTTCTAATACTATCTCTGTAACTGTTTTGAAGGATTATACAATATAATTGAAATGTGGGTATAGTGGAGAAGAACTTGAGAAGGCCAGGGGAAAGATAAACAGCAACAGAAAAAAACAATTTGACCTTATTTTACTATTTTTCAGTTTTGGAGGGATTGCAGTATGACTCCATTCCCATGGTGCGTTCATAAAACAGTTTATCCAGTGACAACAATGAAGGTTATTGACAACACTACCCTCATTTTTCTGTTCTTCTGCACTGGAAAATTGTGATTTTTTAAGGTAATGTCTTTGCCAAGAACTCATTAAAGGGGGAAGAAAAATAAGTTGTTTATGACACTACACTTGATCATGACATTACAAATGACTAGCCAAACAAAAATCAAAAAGTTATCACCAAATGATAAAACTGAAACCACTTTCTACACTATATGGAACCATATATACCACACAATAATGCAATCTATAAGCTGTTTTGTTAGGTTAACTCCTAATTACCTTATCCTTTCTGTTGTTACTGTGAAATGTGTCTATTAAACCACGTTGCTGATTATTTTTGGTAAATGGGAATAGGATTGATAATATTTACGTATATTTACATACTGATTTAATATGCTGCAACCTTTCTGAATTCTATTTATTCTAATAATTTATGGATTCTCTGTTAGTAATTATATTAGGAATAATGGCAATTTCTTCCTTTCCAATTTATTTTTTTAGCTTTTTCAATATTTTTAGCAATGTTTCAGGTTGTTTTACTGTGCTAGCTAGGATCTTCAGTACAACAAAATATAGTAAAAGTGATAGAGCATTTCCTTGTCTTCCTACTGAATTTACAAGAGAATTCTGCAAATGTTTCATTATTTTTAGTAGACTTTTCTTGCAGCTCAGGAAGTTTTTTTCCTATTCTTAAGTTGCTGAAAGTTTTTCTTATGAATGACTATGGAGTTTTTCTCCAGGTACGTTGTATTTACTGCCATGATCATATGGGTTACTTCTCCACTAATATGATAGTGTGACTGTGTGATAAATTAAGATAATCAATTTCTAATACATTTCCTGCTTTTGATTTCATCAGGTCTCACCATTGAATAATTTGTTTTCTATTTTAGTAATTTTTTCTTTTACCGTTTTTTCTTTACTTTCTCTTTGCTCTTTTTATATTTATTAATTTGGACCGTTAGCTCTGTAATTTTCACTTTTCTTAAATATTTTGTGACTATAAATTTTAAAAAAATATATTTTATTGGATTTTTTACAGAAATGAAGGGAGAGGGATAGAGAGTTAGAAACATCGATGAGAGAAAAACATCGATCAGCTGCCTCTCTTGCACACCCCCCACTGGGGATGTGCCCGCAACCAAAATATATGCCCTTAACCGGAATCGAATCTGGGACCCTTGAGTCCACAGGCTGACACTATCCACTGAGCCTCACTGGTTAGGGCATGACTATAAATTTTTAACTATCACTTTAGAAGAATTTCACAGGTTTTTATATGTAGTAATTTATCATTCAGTTTTTCTTAATTTCACTTATTTCTTTTTGCTCATGAGTAATTTTTAAAAATCTACAAACACGTGTCTCTTTTTAAAAATCATACTGTGAAATCATTAGTTCAATTACAGACTAACTTATTTTCTGCTCTAAAGTGTTTCATGTTTTTTATCCTTCTGGTAACAAAAAACAGAATTACACACTGGCTCCTCATCCCACTGGATTTTGACAATATCAAACCTTTTCTTCCATTAAATACATGGAACAGTGTGGTTATACTATTCAGTGATGGAATTATTGCTGACAGGTATGCTTGTGGGTTTTTTTTAAACCTTTGAAATTTTTTAAAAAATATATTTTTATTGATTTCAGAGAGGAAGGGAGAGGGAGAGACAGCAAGAAACATCAATGATGAAAGAGAATCATTGATTGGCTGCCTCCTGCACACCCCCTACTGGGGATCGAGCCTGCAACCTAACCTGGGCATGTACCCTTGGCCGGAATTGAACCTGTGACCCTTCAGTCTACAGGCAGAGGCTTTGTCCACTGAGCCAAACCGGCTAGGGCTGAAAGCTTGATCTAATTCTACACTTAAAGAAAATTTGTGCTGAAACCGTTTTGGCTCAATGGATAGAGCGTCGGCTTGGGGACTGAAGGGTCCCGGGTTCGATTCCGGTCAAGGGCATGTACCTTGGTTGCAGGCATATCCCCAGTAGGGGATGTGCAAGAGGCAGCTGATCGATGACTCTCTCTCATCCATGTTTGTAACTCTCTATCTCTCTCCCTTCCTCTCTGTACAAAATCAGTAAAATATATTTTTTTTAAAAAGAAAATTTGTGACAATATCACAACAAACTCCCATAATACCCTTTATCAGGATCTGCCAATTAACACATTGCCGTGTTTGCTTTATCATTCTGTATGTCATTCTCTGTTTCTATATCATTCTTTATCATTTTCTATCATTCTGCTCCCCCCTCTTCCTCCCCCACTCATTCCCCTTTCCTCCACCTCTTTCTCTTCCTCTCACCTCCTCCCTCTCCCTTTTTCTCTGTCTGAACTGTTTGAGAATATCTTGCAGGCATCACGCTTTACCTGAAACTACTTCAGTGTATATATCCTCAGAGCCATGTCTTTCTCTTAATGACCTCAATACATGTGACAATGTACTAGTAAAAATTTGGCATTGTCCCATAAACCTTTATTGTCAAAATTATACAGTCATACTTAATGAAAAAAGGGATGAGTTTGAAAAAACATATATTTATTTGTTTAAAAAACATTTTAACAGTTTTATTTCAGTGTAGTTAACATTCAATAAACTGTACATGTTTAAAATGTACAATTTGAGTATTTTATCATATCTTTGGGACCATAACCATAGTCAAGATAGTACGGCACACTTTCTTGGGGTTCCTTTTTATTTTGTTTTGTGGTTTGTTTGTTTTTTAATTTATTTTTAGAGAGAGAAAGGAACATTGATGAGAGACAAACATCAATTGGTTGCCTCCTGCATGCCCCCCTCTAGGCGTCAAACCTGCAACACAGGTACATGAGTGCCCTTGACTGGGAATTGAACCGATGGCCCTTAGGTACTCAGGCCAATGCTCTAACCACTGAACCACACCGGCCAGGGTTTGTTGTTATGTTTTTATTCTTTGCTTTTTTTCAGTTGTTATCAACAGCTATTCTTTTCTTTCTTTTGTTATTGCTCACAGTATTACAGATACCCCCATTTCCCCTTCTTTACCCCCCTCCTCCTGGCCCCTGCCCCCCATTAGACCTTCACCACAAAATTGTCTGTGGCCATGGGCTATGCATGCATGCATATCAGCTCTTTGGTTAATCTCTTTCAATCCCCCTCCCCCACACCCTTTTTCTCTGAGATCTGACAGTCTGTTCCGTGTATATATTTCAAATGGACAATGTAAGCTGTAATCTTTTTTCCCACCTTTATGGAAAAATATTTATCATACAGCATTTTTTAAGTTTAATGTGATGATTTGCTATATATATATATATATATGTATATATGTATATATATATATATATATATATATATATATATATGTTACAGAATGATTAGCACAATACGGTTCATTAATACATCAGTCATGTCACAGTTACCATTTTTGTGTGTGATTAGAACTTTTGCGATTTACTCTTTTAGCGACTTTTAAATATACAGTACAGAATGATTAACTATAGTCACTGTTTTTTGTTAATACTCACCTAAGGATATTTTTTCCCATTGATTTTTAGAGAGTATGGAAGGGAGGGAGGGAGGGAAGGAGGGGGGAAAGAGAAAGAAACTTTAATGCAAGAGAGACACATTGATTGGTTATCTCCCACACGTGCCCTGACCTGTCAGAGATCAAGCCTGCAACCAAGGTATGTGCCCTTCAGTCAGTGGACCAATGCTCTAACCACTGTACAAAACCAGCTAAGACTATAGTCACTATTCTATGATATAGTACTATACTATGACTATAGTTATATAACGAAATATACTATAACTGTATTATTAACTATAGTATGATATACATTATTCTGTATATTAGATCTTGAGATCTTAAAATAATTGAAGGTTTATACACTTTGATCTATTTCGTCCATTTCCCCCACCCTCCCACCCCAGAAACCACCAATCTACTCTCTGTTTCTATGAGTTAGGCTTTTTAAATTTCATTCATAAGAGAGCTTATACAGAATTTGTCTTTCTCTGTCTTAATTATTTCACTAGGTCTTTAGGTTTACCCATTATATCAGAAATGGCGGGACTACATTTTATAACTGAATAATATTCTAATATACACTGAGTGGCCAGATGATTATGATCTCTGAATGCATAATAATCTGGCCACTTAGTGTATGTCCTATATAATAAAAAGCTAATATTAATATACAATTTGTCCCCTCCACCAGGAGTTCGACCGGCAGGCAGGCAGGCCAACCGTCCATGTCCCCTCCCCCTGGCCAGGCTGGCTGGACCCCACCCATACATGAATTCATGCACCGCCTCCCCTCTCTCATAATAATCTGGCCACACAGTGTATATATACTGTATATCACATTTTTGGTTCATTCATCTCTCTGTGAACATTTATGTCTTGGTTATTATAAATAATGATGCAGTCAGTGAACATTGGGGTGCAGATATCTCTTAGAGATAGTAATTTCATTTTTTTCAGCTATATTCCCAGAAGGAGAATTGCTGGATCATATGGTAGTCCTATTTTTAATTCTTTGAAGAACCGCCATACTGTTTTCCATAGTATATGTAACAATTTACATACCCACCAACAGTATACAATGATTCCCTTTTCTCCACATCCATGCCACTATTTGTTATCACTTGTCTTTTTTGATGGTAGTAATTCTAACATGTGTGAGATTTCTCACTGTGGTTTTCATTTGTATTTTCCTGATGACTAGTGATGCTGAGCAAATTTTTGTGTACCTGTTGGCCATTTGAATATCTTTTTTGGGAAAATGTCTATTCAGGCCCTGTACACCTTTTAAAATTGGATTACTTATTTTTCTCCTGTTGAGTTGCATGAGATATTTCTATTTGGGGTATTAATTTCTTATCAGATATGTGCTTTGCAATTATTTTCTCTACACAGGTTTTCTTTATACTCTGTTGATCTTTTCTTTTGATGTAGTTCTACTTGGTTTTTTTTTTTTTCTTTATTCCTTTATTGTGTAATGTCATAGCCATAAAATCATTGCCAAGACCTATGTCAAACTTTTTCACTATGTTTTTTTCTAAGACTTTTACAGTT